GGGTGATGGCTGGGCCCTGCAGGGAGCCGAAACCGCTCTTGAGATGCCCTTGGTCTAAACGCTTCCTTCTCCTCCTCCTCCAGGTCCCCGTCGTCGCCGTCGTCTTCCTCCTCCTCCTCCTCCTCGCCGCCGCTGCGCTCGGCAGCAGCCCGGATTGCTCGCCAAGCTGGCTCCTTGCGCCATGGTCACCCACAGCAAGTTCCCCAGCGCCGGGATGAGCCACCCGCTGGAACCGCTCTTGAGATGCCCTTGGTCTAAACGCTTCCTTCTCCTCCTCCTCCAGGTCCCCGTCGTCGCCGTCGTCTTCCTCCTCCTCCTCCTCCTCGCCGCCGCTGCGCTCGGCAGCAGCCCGGATTGCTCGCCAAGCTGGCTCCTTGCGCCATGGTCACCCACAGCAAGTTCCCCAGCGCCGGGATGAGCCACCCGCTGGACTCCAGCCTGCGCCTCAAGACCTTCAGCTCCAAGAGCGAGTACCAGCTGGTGGTGAACGCGGTGCGCAAGTTGCAGGAGAGCGGCTTCTACTGGAGCACGGTGACGGGGGGCCAAGCCAACCTCTTGCTCAGCGCCGAGCCTACGGGCACGTTCCTCATCCGGGACAGCTCAGACCAGCGCCACTTCTTCACGCTGAGCGTCAAGACGGAGAGTGGCACCAAAAACCTCCGGATCCAGTGCGAAGGGGGCAGCTTCTCGCTCCAGAGCGACCCCCACAGCAGCCAGCCTGTGCCCCGCTTTGACTGTGTCCTGAAACTGGTCCATCACTACATGCCCTTCCCCGAGCAATGCCCCGGGGAAGCCTCGCACCCCAGGCGCGCCTACTACATCTACTCAGGTGGAGAGAAGATCCCCCTGGTGCTGAACCGCCCTCTTTCCTCCAGTGTGTCCACCTTGCAGCATTTGTGCCGCAAGACGGTCAACGGGCACTTGGATTCCTACGAGAAGATGACCCAGCTCCCTGGGCCCATCAAAGAATTCCTTGACCAGTACGATGCACCTGTGTAAATGGACCCCCACTTGTTGGGGACAGCAGCCCATGGCACAAGCACAAGAGCAGAACAGGGGGGAGAGGAGGTTACAGGGCAAGGAGAGAGAGAGAGAGAGGGAGGGAGCGCAAACTTTTTTTCTTTCTGGCTTTTGGAATATGAAAGGGGCTGGAGGGGACTGGCAGGTGGAGCAGCTGAGGAGCCTCTGCCCAGTACAGACACTGTCCTGCTGTTGCTTTTGCTGGATGGTTTTTGCCAAGAGGTGCTTTGGGCAGGAGAACCGATGCTGCTGGACTGTGAAACAGGCTGCTGCTCCTTGAGAGAAGAATCAGTGGCCGATGCTGCGTGGAAGAGAATGGTTTGCAAACTTCCTGAACCGAAGGACAGTTTACAAAGAGCTTTTGCTCTGCACTGGCCCTACCACACCACCTCTTATGACCTCTGACCGAAACCATTCTGCAGACCATGGTATATATGCACTGGAGTCCAGCTAGTGCCTGAAAAAACGACTTTTCCTCAGTTTTAAGGGGAAACGTTAGAGAAGAAGAAGAATCTTTACCTCTCTCCAGCTCTTGAAGAGACAGAATTTCTTCTCACCCCAAGCCTCTTCCTTAGAGGATGCTGCCACACGTTTATTCATGGGACTAAGCCTTAAAGAAGAATTGCGAATCCTCCCATTATCGTATGGACTGATTTATTACTGCACATTGCATGGAGAGAATTGTCATTTACTCTCTGTGCTATTATGCAAGTGAAGGAGGACTTCTTTTTTTAGAGATCACATCCCTGCATTTGAAACAACAAAAGGGGATGATGAATGAACTAGTCATTCTTCTTGAAGTTTTATTCCACCTGAGCTTCTCTGTCCATATTGATAATCTCTTGCCTTCATTCTTGGATTTTCAGCTCCTCAGAGAATGGTCTCACATCTACAGCAGAGATTGTAGATTTGTTTAGGCCCCAAATCGCACTGAATAACTGAAAATATATATATATACAGGAATGTAGCAACAACGGAATTACCTGGAACTTTCAATTATTATTATTTTTCTTTTTTTTGTAAAAGTGTAACCAAACTTTTGTGTGTTCATCTTATTTTTACATATCAGGGTTTTAGAAAGGCAGATGAGGTTTTGTTTTTACAAAGAGAAATGTTTACAAACCTGCCTAAAAAAAATCATTCTGTCTTTTATAAAGATTCCATCCTTCAGCCTTGCAGGCTGTTAGACATGCTTGAAGACTCAACCAAAAATCAAACTTGGAAGAAAACTTTGCACATCTATTTATATTTATATTCAATGGATTTTAAAGACAGCATTTGTTAATTTATAATAAAAAGCACTATTTTTTAAATGAAATGCTTAGCTCTCCTTCTCTTCTTCCAGCTCCACTATACTTCCATACTTCTCAATGATACGTGCACCCTTGCCATAGCTACTGTTATATCCAACATCATTAGGGAATCAGAGAAACACAGGAGCTTCTATCTTACACTCAGCCAAAATGCTGCTTAGTGAGACTGCCGTGGAAGTCTCACAGCAGTGTATGTAAATGACACAAGGGACTACAGGACGTCACTGTATAAAAGAAGGGAATTCTCATGCTAGTGTTGAGCAGAGAAGCTATGCTGTTGCTGCCTAGAGAGATAGCAAAATGCAAGTTTATCATAAATGCCAGTCACTGAGAGTTGCTTTATGTTAGTATTTTTAATCAAACTTACTTTTACGAAAAATGACTTCCTGAAGTGATCCATAATTGAGCATCATGTTACCAAATTATTGACTGAAATCTAATAGTAAGTCATGACTAGAGTAAGCCCAATTGGATCAGTGGGGATCTTGGCAAGTCAGCACCTTTGTAAATTTCACCGATTCAATGCACCTATTCTAGTTGTGACTTACCATTGGATTTCAGCCATTGTTTCATAGTTACTTGTATTTGAAAGTAAGGTTCTGCTGCTGTTGACAGCCCTATCCTTTCTACTTCCAGTTTGGCGATATAGGACTGAATCAGAAGACTTCAGGCATGCACATACTCCAAAGCAGAAAATTATGGAGGAAAGGTCCACAGCTCACGTTCTTATCTGTTAAACATCTCAGGTCCAATCTAAGGCATCTCCAGTGAGACATATTTGTTAGCAGTGATTGTGAAATATGTTTGCATTAACCCTGGAGAGGCATTTCTAGGATGAGCAAACAATGGTTAAGATGTGGTTTTGCGCAGATGGACAACTGTCCAACCTGACATAAGGTTGATTCCTATGTGTGAATGGCTGAGTTGTCAAAAGATAAGTGACATGCACAGAAACCACAGTCCAACAACATCTGGAGGGCTGCACTCTCCCCAACTCAGGTTTAAGGGGAAACATTGTAAACATCCTGAAAATTGCCTTGAATTCACAAAACGGTATTGTTCAAAGTTTTCCCAAGGAGTCATCTAGTACTACAGCCCCTGCCACTGTGGGAATGTTACTGAGGTCCATCTGCCATTAGCTCCAATCAGCAGGAATGAGGTCACTTGAACAACACCTTGAGAGGTGCGGGTTTCTGCTCTTTCTAAGAATGAAACCATGCCTCCCAGAAATGAAAAGAAAAAAAAAAACACAGTTTTTGGGACACACACATCTTCAGCATAGCTCCACGCAGTGGTTTGAAATTGATGTGTCTCTCTATAATATTGGGAGATGTGACAAGATAGTTTGTTAGCTCTGAGTAATTTTCAAGGGCTACTTCTTCTCTCCATAATAAGGGGTGGTCTTTGCAGTTCTTCTTCTAATCCCATGTCTTTCATCCAGGACCAGGCAGAGCAGATGGAAAGGAACGGGGGCCGGCCCCTGTCCAGCCCCTCTGGCCTATTGTCTTGGGCCTGCCAGGAAACACTGATTCCCAGTCGAGTCAGAGCTATGTCAAGAATGTCCAGGCGGAGTAAAGCTGGTGGCGCCATGCCAGGCCCTGCCGAGACACATCCCCAGCGTCAATGCCATCTGATCCTGGCCAGCACACACCCCTTTTTCTCCCTTGCTGTGATCTGAGTTTCTACAGCAACCGGATTAAAGGCAGGAATATCACTGTTTATTCTTTGGCCTGTGCCAGGAAATGAGAGGCCTTCTCATTCCCTTATTACTCCAGCTGCCATGGGGGGGGGAGGTGGAGGGAGGAGGGAGCAGTGGTGGTGTAGTATTCATGGAAACTTTGGGTAGTTTCTTTCATGGAAACGAATTTCAGTCCGTCAGCAGCTAAAGCAAGCACTTTATGAAACAGCCTTGACGAATGGGTGTGTGTGGGGAAAAATAAAGCTATGCCAGTCAGGGATTGGGGGTGCCCTCAGTTTGCAGGTCCCTCTGAGAGCACTCAGCTGCTGGACAAAATGGCACTTAGTACTGACTGACTTCTTCCAGAGAACAGGAAGGCCACAATACTTGTGTTGTTTGCCTGCCAAACAAAACAAGCCTCGGGTGCCTAGCATACCCTCCAAACCTACAGGCTTTCCCAAAAGGACATTTGCAGTAACCATAGGAAGCCACCAAGTGGGGCAAAGTTTTACCCTGCCCCCCAGGATCCTCGACTGGTAAAAAAGCAGATTTTCTTGTGTCCAGCACAACAGTCCTATTTTCAGCATAGTGGCAGAAGTTATGCAAAACCTTGGAAAGCTACTTTTTTTGGGCTACACCTCCATCCTATATTTCCCATCATGGACATTTCACACTCCCAACCTCACTGGCAGTGGGACTGTGGAGGGATCTACTGTTCCAGCAGGCTGAGGCGGATGCTTTCTGGCATTCAGAGCCTCAAGAATTCAGAGCAGGGTGGCCGTGGTGGTGGGGAGTTCCTTATTTCATTAATGTCCAGTATTTTGATTTTACTGCCAATGAAAGAGATGGGGGGCGGTCCTTGTTCAATTCCATGCCCCAGATGCCCAAAGAATTGGGCTGAACATGGTAAAATGACACACCGCAAGTTGGAGTTTGTGGGGAGGGGTACGATCAGCTAGTGCTCCTCAGGCACCCAAGGGTCTTGGCCTAGCCTCCCTACCACCAGACCACCCCCACCCCATAGCCTGACCTGTTTGCTTCGGGGCTCAGCACACACTGTTCAATGACTGGAAAAGTCCGGGAAGGTTTGTAAATGCTTCTCATTTCTTGGAACGTCGCCCTAGTCATTGGTGACGTGCTGGTCCAGCAGCGAACCTTAAGCAGAAGTTTCACAAGCCTGACGCTTTCCCCAGAAATATCTCCAGTTCTACATTACGTAGGGAATGAAGTGAATGTCTCAGTTAAGTCACAGTTCTCTTCCTCTATTCTGTGCCAGAAGTGGGGCTAGCAGAATTGAAGTCATTGTTAAGAATTTACTGGATGTGTGGGGGGGGGTGAGATGGACTTGCCCAGCAGTAATTAAGCTCCAGCCCTGGTCTGACTGGCAGGAAAAAAAAACCCTGGCTCAACAGGAAAAGGTATCTCCACCAAATGCAGGATGCACTGCTCTTATCTAATGCTAGACACAGTTAACCAGTTCCTGTCACCTGGTGTTCTGAGAAAGCAAAACAGAAGCTTGCCAGAAGCAATGCCCGAGTGTTCAGCACCCATTTGTCGAACACCAAAAGTGGATCCTAAAGGACAAGCACATCTGAACAATTTTGTAAATTAAAAAGAAACAGGGGGAAAGCTCATGTTCTTTCAGGACAAACAGCATCACATTCACCACTCGTTCTCCACTTTGTGTTCCCAAAATTGACATCATGGTATCTTAAGGGTGGGCAATTTGAGGCCTTCAGGGATTGTTGGACTGCAGCTCTTGTTACTCTTCGCTGATAGCTATATTGTCTAGGGCGCATGGGAGCTGAAGTCCAATAACATCTGGAAGTCGTTCCCTACCATTGGGTTACCCAGTGTTCTACTTACTTAAATTGGGTCAGTGTTGTGATACAAGGATGTACCCTAGAAAGAACAAGCCAAAGCCAATGCGATCTCTGCCTTGTCTTGCAAAATTGTTATAGGAGCAAAATGTACGTCATTGACTTAAAAAAGCAAGTCTTTGGTCCTCCAGATGTTTTCACCTAACTCCCAGAAGGCATAGCCTACATACCCTATGGCACAGGACCATGAGATTGTGGTCTAAAACATCTGGTAGGCCAAAATGCACCCCCCCATTGTATTCCAGAGCAAGAAACATCTAACTTTTTCAGGTCTGAGATTTACTCTTAACAACACATTTAACATTTTCCTGAACTGTAACATACCGTAGAATGGCTGATAAGGCCATCAACTGAAGCCAAACAAAGTTCTTGAACATCATGGACTCTTGACACCAAATAAGCAGTACTACATGCTAAAGAAAGCATCCACCAGGCGAAACTATTCATTTGGCTTTAATCTGGCTTAAATTTTTGTTCCTGGTGGTTTGACTAAATTCCTAATCCCAACTCCATTAGAGGCAGGCCATGCCACTGGGCAGTCTTCCCTCCCCCAGCTAAAAAGAAACTCTGTGAATTTCAAAAGGGCAAAAAGGGAGAAGGAGAAGGGCCCTCCAGATTGCCTGAGAAGCTTGAGAGCAACATGCATTCTGCAACTACTGTATTTCCATTTGAGGAGTGAACCTGGCCTGTACAGCATCAGCCATGTGAATTTGGGACATTAATAACAGCACATACGTTTAGAACTACCCACAAGAACTTGATGCACAGCCCTGAAGATGATTTATCATCGGAAGCTCACTGTTTTTTGTTTTCTGTTTTATATTCATAATGGTTGATTAAGGGTATTGCCTGTTCCTACATTTAACACATCATTTTGTGAGTCTTTCTCATTTCTTTAGCACTGCACTTTTCCCATTTCCTCTAAAATCTGTAATAGTCCTTTCTCCTGATTCACTTTCTGAAGACGAGTGCACTACCTGAAAACTTTGGCCACAGGGACGTGGTGGCGCTGCGGGCTAAACTGCAGAAGCCTCTGTGTGCTGCAGGGTCAGAAGACCAGCTATCGTAAGATCGAATCCATGCGACGGAGTGAGCGCCCGTCGCTTGTCCCAGCTCCTCGCCAACCTAGCGGTTCGAAAGCATGAAAAAATGTGAGTAGATACAGTAAATAGGTACCACCTCGGTGGGAAGGTAAAACGGTGTTCCCTAGTCACGCTGGCCACGTGACAACGGAAAACTGTCTTCGGACAAGCGCTGGCTCTACGGCTTGAAAAATGAGATGAGCACCACCCCCTATAGTCGGACACGACTGGACTAAAAATATCAAGGGGAACCTTTACCTTTACCTTTAATTTGCTGGTCTTTATGGTGCTGCAACATTCTTTGTTGCTTGCCCTTACTTCAAAGGGTAGCTGGATGTGAAGGAGAGGAGGGCTCCTGCTCATTT